CATTATGATTTTTTGGAATTTGAGGTAATTTTGCAGAGTAGTGCTTGGATTCATTGGAAGATGTGGAATATTTTGTATTTAGTTGGAGAAATCGGTTTGGTTATTGTTGAAGAGTCAGTTCATTCCTAGTAGACAGATTTTCTTCTCCAGGTGGAGAATATTTTGGAGCTTTGTTCGTTGCAGTGAAATTTGTGTTAGTGTGGAAATTGTTAGAATTTGGGTGTGCCCCGAATTCCTTGTTGAAGTAATTGAAGAATTCTAATTGAAGTGGACGGCAAGAAGAATTCAGTTTGGAATGCTATTGGAATCCTATGTCAAGTTGAAGTTCTATTTCTGAAGCCCATTAGGAGTTGAAAATTGATATTGTTGAAAAAGAGTTCGGATGAAGAAAACAACTTGAAACGGAAAAAAGAGAAGGCAAAATGCTTGACCTTGTTGCAGTACCGGCGCCCCTATTCGGTATTTTGCCCTGGGCATCGCAGCTCCACCTGTGTCTATCCAGGGATTTTCGTGTTTTTCTCTCCTTTTTCGTTTTGGACTTGATTTTTTGACATTCTACTTCATCAATAACTCTATTATGAGGGTTAAGACATCCTACATGTTCCCTATAAATATTAAACTCTTCTATACAATTTTATGACGTGAGAATAGAGTGAGAAAAGTGATTACTATATTTTTGGATCATTGCAATACTTCTTCATCTTCATTATTTGTAGTGCAATAAAATCTCATAATTCATGTGCTATATTTTCTTGTCTTCTTTTATTCTTTTGCTTGCAATCATATACTTCATGTTTTACCATATAACTTCAGCATCTCAATTCGGTGGTTGGTTTCATATCAAGTGGTATCGAGCGATACGTGATCCTTGAATTCTCAACAATTGGTATCAAAGATTCTGGGCATAATTATCACAACAATTTTGAATAATGATTTTTAGGAGAATGTACGACTAAAAAGTCGGGGAAAGTTTTTAGTTTACGTGCAGAATATTTTATTGTGTGAATGTGTAATTGAAAATGAGCGTATAGTAAAAAGAGTCTTCAATTAAAGGCCATCAAAGAGAGGGGCTCAATATCATACACCATATTGACGGCCTCATTCCATTGATCCCTTCAATTTCTACAGCCTAAGCGTGTGTCAGTAATTATTAAACAAAGCTGTCTCAACGCCTAGGCTCCTAGGCTGTCGTTCCATAACTTATCTTCAATCGACTCCACCTCCACTTTTTGATTCTCATTTCATATCTTATCCACCTTAGTACAAACATGCATCCATTTAGAAATCCTCATTTTCACTACATCCATCTCGTACAATGAGGTTTAAAATTGGCATTGACACCAAAAGAAGCAGGGCAGCAGAAAGAAAGTTGGATAAGCAAGAACCAAAGCCTAGATTTTATAATTGGTTTAGAGAAAGAAGTCGGTCGACTGATATAGACACATTTTGACAATTAGGCCATGGAGTTATATTAAGAATTTGAAAGACAGAAACTTCTCATGATACGTGTGCTGTAAAGAAATAAACATTACCATTTTATTCGTATAGCATGATGATCTTGTATTATCCTGATAAGCAAAATTACAATATCTATAATGTCAAGACAATGCTATGGATAACTTGGTAACGTACAAGTGAAATTAAAGGCTA